GAATTTAACTTTACAAACATGTGCACAGCTCTCACCACTTCCAGGCAGCATTCTAAGCCCTTGAAATGGAGCCTCTGAACCCTCACAATCCTGAGAGGTAGACATTGTTATCATCTGCAGTTCACACATGAGGACATGGAGGCACGAGAGATTTCAGTAACTTTTCCAAGGTCATGGAAATAGCAAAGGGTGGAGCCAGAGTTTGAACCCCTTCGGAGCTCCCATTTACAGCAGGGTCTGGTACGGAGCAGAGCTCAATACCTGTTGTAAGCGATCCTCAGTGCGGCCCTCGGGACCCTGGCCGCCTCTCCTTGTGTTCAGCGGAAGGAGCCAAAGCCCCCGGCCTGCTGTGCCTGGGCCTGGGCCTGGGCACGCTTGTGTGCCTGAAAGTGGAACAGAACCTACTAAAGGACATGCCCAGTTGCTACACTTGGTTTGGGGTCTTGGAACAAGTCAGAGACAGTTCTCCCCTGGGGGAGCTCCCAACTGAACGCAAGATGAAGTGAACTGAAAATTATTAACCCCAGAGAAAGCCCAAAAACTTAAAAAAATAAAACTTCCCTGGATCATGCAGCTGCTAAAGTGGCAGAGCTGGGACTCAGAGCCAGGCTAATTTGACCCCCAATTCTATGATCTTGTTATCAAGTCATGGTCCCCAGCTGAATTTGGGAGCTGGGATACAGAGGTGCAAGGTCCTATTCGCGGGGAGCTCCTGTGGTAAAGGAGGGGGGCAGGCTGTGAACCCAAACATCTCATGGATGGGAAGGGCTCTGCCGTGATCAACTCGGGGGTCATGGAGCAAGAAGAAAGAAATGCACTGAAAGATGTTCTCCTTAACGGAGGGGGCACTGTCTGTTGTGTTTCCTGCTGTACCCTGTGCCCAGCACAGGGCCTGGCACACTTCACTTTCAGTGAGAGTCTGATGAATGTGTGAAGGAGGAAGAGACCAAAGTGCCTAGGCCAGAAAGAAGGCTAGTCAAGAAAGACTTGTCAGATGAGCTCCTATTTCGGAGGGGGGAGGCTTGAAGGATGAGTTAGGAGTTTGCTAGGTGGAAAAGAGGGGAAAGGCATTGCAAGTATATGCAAAGGAATAACAGGGTGGAATAAAAAGTCTCTCAACCTTTTAAAAATGACAACCCACAACATGCGCATATACAATATATACCTGCACACACACTGAGGACACAATATATACACACACAATCATAACTTTGTTGTGTGCAATGCCCTCTCAATTTTTTATTTCTTTCCATTTTGTAAATGTTAGCGGCGACCCACTAATTGGTTGTGATACGGTCATAGGGGATTTGGGAAAGATGGAGGCTGGAAGGGAAATTTGGAGCCAGACTGTAAAGACCTTAGGAAGCTAGGGTGATGATTTGGACCCTTTTCAGTCCTTGCTTCCCCTGCATGGTTGGATCCTGCAAACTCCAGGCTCCTTCTCTAGCAGTTTGAATAGCTTCCTGCCTCTCTGGCTAGTCTTCTTTAGTTGCCTTTAGCTTTTCCTTTTCCCCAGCTGGCTCTCTAAACCATGCTGAGTTACTGGGCTTTGTGCTGGGACTCAAAACGCCCACTGGGCGTTCTTGGCCTCCCACAGCACCCCATCCAAGCCTTGGGTTGAAGGACACCCACTTCCAGCTATGGAGATCCATCACCTTGAAAGCCCACACACTTCTTTTTGAGCCAGGCACATACAATCAGCTGCCCTTCCAGTGACCTACAGATATCTCAAACTCCGAAACCAGGTTCATCTCCCTCCGACAGGTTCCTCCCCATCCCAGTTTCTTGTTGTCCTCACCAGTCTTGCATACTCTCCCACAGGACAGAACCGTGTCCTTGGGGCCTCCTCATCCTGCCTGTTCAGCTCTCAGTTCCATCCACTTCTCTCCATGCCATCTGCCCTTGTCCAGGCTGGGCTTTTTCTCTCCAGATGACTGTTCAACCGCCTGCCCCTTTCTACTGATTCTGCGTAAGAGCTGCCACCATGAGCCTTCTGAAAAAGAGATCGGATCATGTGGCATGCTGCTTCTCTTTAGATGGTGCCCACACTTGTTAACATTCCCTAAACGTTGGGCCTCTTCTCTGCAATCCTCCCCCACCCCCATTGCCTCTAACACTCTGTTCTCCAGACCTATCAGAACTCCATGGGCTCCACTTCCTTTGACTTCAAAACCTTTATCTAGTTAACGCCAACTCATTTTTTTCTGGATCCCAGTGTAGGAACATCTTCTCCAGGAAGCCTTTCCTGATTTACCCAGGCTGAATCTGAAGCCCCTGTGTCTCTGTGCCCAAGACCACTGTGAATACCCCAGCTTCATACCTAACACCTTCTTTTATACTGCAGTGGCCCAAAGCTGTCTTCTCCACTAGATGGCAGTATAATTGAGGGGCTAAGGACAGAGGTCAAAGCCAAAAACTCTCTAGGCTAAAATCCCAGCTCTGCCATGTCCTCCTGGCTGAGGGAGTTTTGGAACTTGACCTAGTCCCTCCGTGATCTGCTTTTCCCATACTGTAAAATGATGGTGGTTGTGATGATAACGATGTTAACAAGAACGGCTGTTCGAGGATTCAGTGAGTGACGTGCTGTAGTTCTCAATGACAGTGTAAGTGCCGTCTCTGTGTTTGGTGATTCAGTCAGCCCTCAGACTAGTTACTCCAGGACAGTAGACTCTGGATTGGTCTGACCCACTGCTGTGTCCTCAGCCCCTGCCCAACGTCCTGGTCATGAGTGTGACCCAAATGAGCCTTCGGTCCAAGAGAATGTTGATGCATATAGAAAAGAAAGTGCACATTCGAGCCATGCTTTGGAGGTGGATTGCTGGGGCTCCATGCTAAGTCTGTGGGTGATACGGGAGGAGGAAGAACATGGCCAAGGCAAACCTTGTGACTTTTCCTCCCAAACCTTCTGCTGTTACAGTTCACCCTCCATCCCCACCCTCATTGTTCACTGACACCTCTATCCATGCAAGGACTCCAACTAGCATAAGAGTCATTGTTCATTCCTCTCTTTACTCTCTCTTCCCTTCTCCTTCTCCACTGAGTCCTTCCAAATTCTGTCTGTGCTACTTGTGCCCTAGGCCCAGCGCCCTCCCTCCTTTCTGCACCCACTTCTACCACAGTTGTTCCAATTATGATTGCTGTGTAACAAATGACCTCAGAGCATAGTGGCATAAAGCAACTATTTCATTATGCTCACAAATTACGAGGCTCAGGAATTTGGAGAGGGCACACGGGGGATGAGTACAGAAGCCACCGTCTACAGTGCCTCAGCTGGGGACACTCGAAGGCAGGGATGACTCGATGGAGGCCTCTTCACCCACTGTCTGGCACCAGGGCTGGGCTGGCTCCAGTGCTGAACTCGACTGAGACTGTGGACTGGACATTTACGTGTGGCTTCTAAATACGCCGGGACTTTCTCACAGCATGGCATTTTCCAGATTCTTCTGTGGTGCCCGAGGGCTCAAACAGGAGTGCTCCAGCTGAGTCAGAGGTTGCATTGCTCCTTCTGACACGACCATGCAAGTCTTGCGGCACCACTTCGGTCACACCTTATTGGTTGAAGCCCTCAGAATTCTGTCCAGATTCAAGCAGGGAGAGCACAGACAACCCTCCTCTCACTGGGAGGTGTGTCAAATACTTCCGTGCCTATGTTTTAAAACCACCACCCGAACCAAAACCACCCATGTTTCATACCCGGAGTGCTGGGTCGTCTGCTCTGGTCTGCCTGGCTCCATTTTGTCCAGCAGCACACCACGTTGTCTCTCCTATAGCTCTGTTTTCTTACCTCCATTTGCCCCTGGGATACCTGAAATTATTTATTTGTTTACTTTTGGTCTGTCTCCCTCACAAGCTCTAAGAGAGAAAGACCCTTGTCTTTCTTGTTCCTTGTTATACTCACGGTTTCCCACCATGGCGCCTGGCACAGGCATTTGCGGATTGTGAATGAAGGCTTGACCAGCAGTTTTCAAGGAACGGGTGTGCGGTTTGAAAAAGCAATTCTAGAGGACAGGCAGGCCTGGCCTAGGTGGGTAGAGGTGGGGTACTCGAGTGGGGCACTGGCACTCATTAGCTGGAGACTTTGGGAAAACGCCCTCGCGGCCCTGAACCTCAACTCCTTCAGCTGAAACTCGAGTCCCACAGCCCCCAGCTCATTGAACTGGGGGGTGTATCGCAGGATCGGTCGAGCGCCCTCGGTCATCCAGGACGCGGTTCCCTCGAGTGAGGCCAAGCTGCACCGCCTGTGAAGCCCGCCAGGTGTCGCCCTGAGAGTGTGCGGAGCTGCCGGCTGAACCCTGCGCTCTCAGGTGGTTCGGTCGCCCCACTTCTGGATTGAGTGCGCGGCATCCAGGCCTCGACCCCACTCCGACTGTCGGCTAGGAGCGGGATTCTAAAGGAGGCTTCCCGACCTGGGCACCCACCTCCCGTCCCAATAGAATAGACGGGGGTAGGGGTGGGGTATGCTGAGCCGGTTATCCTCGCTCCGCCAAAAGCCCTAAGGAAGGGGGTGCCCTCCCCCGAAGCGGGCCTCGAAAGCCCGGGGGGAGGCGGGACCCGGGTGCGACCTAACGCCGCACAGCCAGCTCCACGCTCTTGCCTAGGCGAGCAGGACAGGCAGACAGGCCGGGGCCAGGGTTTCCAGCCGAGGTCGGATCCCCCTGCCCCGCGCACGCCCAGCCCCGAGCGCAGTCCCTGGGCGCCCACTCGCCCCGCAACTTGGGAGTCTGGGCAGCCAGGGGACGCCCGCCTCCCCCCGCCCGGCCCAGCGTCCCGGAGCCGGGAGAGGGCGCCGCGGGAGCGCGAGGGGCCAGCCGCGAGCGCGCGCCGGCAGCAGGCTGCAGGGTCCCCGGGCACGGGGGCGCGGGGCGGGCGCTCCGGGAAGGCGGGCCGGGGAGGGACCGGAGAAAAGAGGGAGGGAGAGGCAGGGGCGTGTGGGTGCTGCATCCTCGCACTCCCCGCGCCTCGCACTTTCGCACCGGCAGCTCGCGCCCGGCCAGCCCGGCGTCGCTCCGCGCGGCGTTCGCTCCGCCCACCCTCCTCCGGCTCCGCGGATCCCGCGCTCCCCGCGAGGCTCGGAGCGGAGTCTGCGGACGGGCGCACCGACCGACGGCCCCGGGGACGCCTCCGCCCGCGCCGCCTGGGCGGGCTATGTTGATTGTCCTACCGGGGTTGGCTGGCGGGATCCGCACAGCTCGGCCCGCGGTCCCGGCGGCCGGCGGGGACTATGAACCGGAAAGCACGGCGCTGCCTGGGCCACCTCTTTCTCAGCCTGGGCATGGTCTACCTCCGGATCGGGTAAGGGCCGCTCGCAGCCCCCGCACGCGTGTCCCGGCAAAGTTGGCGTGGCCCGGGGAAAGACTGTGCCGCCAGAGAGCCGCCGTCGGCCGCCAATTCCCGCGGCTCCTCAGAGAGGCCGGGTGGGCACGGTGCGGGAGCGAGGGGCGCACGGAGGTCCCTCGCAGGCGGGCGCCCCGGGGGTGCGCTTATCCCCAGAGACACAAGCAGGGAGACCGGCCGCCCCGGGGACGTCGGAGTCTGGAAGCCCCCGGCAGCAGAGACAGCCGGTAGGGACGCCCCAACCGGGGAGTCTCAGAGGAGCGCTGACCGCTGCAAAGGGCTCGCCAGTCCCCACGGGCCAGCAGGTCCAGCAGGCACACGGAGCCCAGATCCAGGACCACAGCCGCCCCGGGGAGCTCAGCCCCCAGAGCCGAAAAGGCGCGCGGCACAGCCTCTGCTGGAGACGGGGCAGCCCCTGGGGCAGGCGGGGCCGGTCCGCGCCACGGGGAACAGGTACCCAGAGGGAGGGACGTTCGCTGGCAGAAAACACAAACCCTGCTCAGGACCCCGGCCTTGCACGGTTTCCAAAGACCCTCAGACTCCCGGAGCCCCTTCTAGGCCGAGGGGACAACGCCTGCCAGTGAAACACACACACACACAAAGGTAGAACGAGAGCTGCCCTGACAGACCGAGGGAGACGAGCTGGCAGAGCCAGCGCCCCGAAGAGGCCGGGCGCACCGCCCCTAAAACTGGGCGCGGGCGTCCGTCTGCGCGAGGCCGGACTAGCCCTCGCCGCTTCGCCGCTGCGTTTCTGCGGACCAGGGGCCTTAGGGCGGTGCCCTGGCGGAAGGTGGGGGCCCGGGAGGTGGGGGGCGTCTCGGGACAGACCTTGGAGCCGCATTTGCATGGCTGGTCTCCCTTTGTACGTAGGAGAAGAGCGTGTGAAAGCCGGTGGGGCGGGGGGGCTTCAGGGATCGATGGGGGTTCTGGCGCTCAAGGGCTGCCCGGGCAGGTCGCGCCCCACCTGCGCCCCCGCCCCCGGGAGGGAACCTGCCTCCCTCCCGCCGGGCGAGGGGCAGGCCGCGGAGGTGTGCGCCGACCCTTTGTGTTCTGTCGCGGCCGCCCCTCCGCTCGGCCCACCCCGCGGCTGCGGAGCGGGGGTTTCTCGAGTTGAGCCGCGGTGCAAACGAGCAGGTGCGCGAGAGCGACCGCGGCGGCCGCGGGCGGAGAGGCGGCCGGGCCCGCGCGCTGCCCGCCCGCCGGCTGTTTTAAGTGTTATCGATTCCCCGCGGCTGAGTGGCTCTGCTCTTCCCTCCACTTTAATCTTCATCTTGGCGGCGGCACCCGCCGCCACGCGCGCACCCAGCATCCAGGAAGCCGGTCCGGCTGATTGGCGCTGGCCGCTCGCGGCTTTATCTCCTTTTTAATTAGAAACGGGGCGGAGGGACAAGGGAGGGGAGAGAGAAAGGGAAAAACAACAGAAAATAACCTCCCCGGGCTGCACCGCCCGCCCGACCTCCCGCCGGCGCCAAGACCTCGTCGACTCCTCCGGGGCCCGGCTGTCCGGAGGGAGGGACCCGGGGAAGGAGCCGACCTGCGGCCCGGCAGCCGCCCTTTGGGGCGGAGGGAGGTCTAGGCAGGGAGAAGGAGTTGCAGGGTGATTTGGAGCCAGGCTCTGCTGCTCCGTGGGCCTCAGGTTATCCATCTGTAAAATGGGCGTGAGGGGTAAAGTCCCGAACAGGCCTTCTAGTTCCCCATTTGTGACTGGTTCCTTCCTGCTCAGGACTGATGGCAGGGCATCTGTGGTTTTCTCATTTTACCTGGATAGTTTATGTGACTGAAGCACTAGCCCCTTGTGACAACCAGATCCAATAATAATAATAATAATAATAATAATAATAATAATAATAACTTTAACAACAAGATCTTCTAAGCACTTTCCATGTTTTAACACGTTTAATTTTTACAACAATCCAATGACGTAAAATAATAACCAGGCCCAATAATTATCAATACTCTCATTGTAGCCATGGAAGTACAGAGAGGGGATGTAACTTGCCCAACATCTCACAGCTAGTAGGCGAAGGAAAGGTAGAGGGCACCCCAGCTTTGACCTTTTAGCTGCTACATTGTTGTTCCTCTGAATTTTTGACCCTAATCTATCATTACACTTCTCTGCTGGTGTAGGGATTTCCTTGTGATCGGCTAGGTGTTCAAAGATTCTTTCTGACTTGTGGACGGAAGATGCACTTAATCTTTCTATGCCATCTCTTCCTCAAACATTTTGCACGTTCTGGCTCTGTGTTAGATTCTGTTTTAGTGGCTGAGATGAATGGCCAGTGACTCTCACTGGGCTCCTGTTTCCAATCCATCACCTGCTAGCCTGCATGTCTCAATGTCTGTAAGCCTCTGTTTTCAGACATGTGAAGCGGGTAGGGTGAGTCCTGCCCGACAGGGCTGTTTAGAAGGCCACGTGGGCCAGTGTTGGTGTCAGCACCCACCGTGTCGCTGTGACACATATTAGGGAGGCTGCAAACGCTCATGCGTTGATGTGTCCAGTGCACATTTGGGCAGCAGCTGCTCACCCTAAGTGACATTTTTTGAAGCTCCACAGTCCATTCATTCAGTAGCCATTTAGTGAACTGGCAGACAGCCTTCCTGCCCTCAGAGGCTCGTAGTCTAATGGAAAGACAATAAATAAATAAGCAGGAAAATTAAAAACAAATGTATTAAGACATTTCAGAAGACCAGACCATGAGTAGCAAGAGTATTAAGTGAACAAAATAGAGGTTGTGATGGAAAATTAGGAGGGGTGCGGAGGGGGGGCAGGTTCCCGTAGCTGGGTTGCTCAGGTTGGTGACTCTTGAGGTCCCATAAATGACGACAAGCCAAGCATGTGCAGTTCAGGGGGTGAGAGCTTCTAGGGAGAGGTACCGGCAACGACAAAGTTCCTAAGACGGGTAGAAGGCTGGCATGAGGCAGGAGCAGAGGGAAAGAGGGCAGGAGTGGTCAGTTATGCACTTGGAAAGGTGTGGGACCTCAGGTGCTGTGGGTAGAAGGTAGCTATGCTTTAAGAAATCTCAGTTCCAGAACAGCTTTCCACTCCTGAGCTCCGGGGTGGAGAGCATGAGGCACTTAGCCCAGTGGCTGGTCATGGCCCTCATTAAGTGGAAGCTCTTATCATTTATAACCAGACTGAGGCATCTGGGGTTAGATCTTCTCTTTCAAAGTAGTCTTGAGGATTGTACAAAAGGAAGCTACAGATGAGTAACACATGTTTATATAAAGGAAGGGCTACCTACATCATCAGAGTTACTATTGGAGCCTGTTTGGGGTTATCTTGATATTAGGAAATGCCCCTGCCCTCAGGCTCATAACCATGAGTCACACTGATGTCTATCTTCCCCTTGTACCTTTGCCATTTCTCTCCTTAGCTCTACCCTGTCCATCAGTCCATCAGTCCATAGCAAGTTTGGTCAGCTCTGTCTGCAGCCACCCCCATCACTGCCACCAATGCCATGCCACTACCACCACCTCTTGCCTGGCATCCCATAGTCCTATGGGGCTGGAGAGATGGGATCCTGTCAGTATCATGCCTGCAGACCTTCAGTGCTTCCCGAGGCATCTGAGAAAATTTCAGCCCCGGGCCATCTCTTGGTTCCAGTGTGTCTTCCTTCCCAAGCTCTGGTTTGCACCAGCTTCTAGGGGTTCTTCCTGTTACTTGTCAACAGTTCCCCTCCCACGACTTGGCATTTTCTGTTCCCTTTGCCCAGAATGCTCTTCCCTAGACCTTCCAGTGGCTGGCCAATCAGATCTCTGCTTCACTGTTACTTCCTCAGGGAGGTCTCTCTCCTTGACCACCCCAGCTCAAGTGGCCCCTGTCCCTTCCCTCCCAAATCCACTCCTAATTGCCATCACAGCATCTTCACTTACTGTTTTCATAGTGTGTGTCACTGTCTGAAATGGCCTGTTGGATTCCTTTATAATGTGAATAGCCAGAGTGAGGCAATCGGGGTGAGATCTGCAGCTCTACAGTCCCTTGAGGACAGGGCCTTTGCTTGTCTCCCAGCCTGGACCCTGACACCTGATAGGTGTTTAATATGTATTTATTCAGTGAATGACTTTCACCAGAATAGTCATAAGCTTCTTTTAGGTCAGTCATGTCCAGAAGGGGATATAGATACACGTACTCCATTGGCTTGTGGGGAGAAAATACTTAGAGCTTCTACCGACAATTTCTCTTTAAATATATTTTGGTAATAAAAATATACATACATACCACAGAGTATATAAGCCATGTACAAACAATTGTTTTTTTAGTGAACATCTGTGCACCCACCATTCTTTTAGAGGCAACTGCTACGTGAAACTCTGTCTTGAGTTGGCCAAAAAGTTCATTCAGTTTTGCTGTACGATGGCTCTAGTATGTTTGGTTGTCTTTAACTGCTTTCGAAATTGTTTTGTTAGGTTGTATTATGACAACTGTCACAAAAAATGTGTCAAAATTAGCAAATTTTTGTGCAGATATTTTAATACTGAAGATGGAAGAAAGTACACAATATTTTCAGCATATTATGCTTTATTATTTGAAGAAAGGGAAACATGCAACTAAAATGCACAGAAAGATTTGCGTATGGAGAAGGTGCCGTGTATGATTGAATGTGTCAAAAATGCTTTGCAATGATGCTGTATAGTCAGGTAGACCAGTTGAAGTTGATAGTCATTGAATCAAGACATTAATTGAGGACAATCAATGTTAAACCATGGGAGATAACCAACATACTCAGAATATCCAAATCAGTAAAGTTATTTGTGAAAATGAAAAGTGCGTCTTTTATTTCATGGAAAAAACCATATGGACATTTTGGCCAACCCGATAGTTTCCCTTTATAGTTTTCCACATAGAGATGGTTCCTAAACAGTATTAAGATTAATTTTGCATGATTGTAAACTTCATCTCAATTGAATCCTATCATAACTATAAAGGAAACTTGCTTAATTCACTCAACATTTATGTTTGACATACATCACCTTATTTTTTGGTATTGAAAAGGAAATCACGCCTCACTAATATTGTATATATACACTGCACAGATACCAGTGTGAAATCACAAATGAATAAACATGGTATCAATAAATTTGGGAGACTCCTGCTGGGGGCTGCAGGGTGAGGTGACCAGGGTCGATACCCAGGGAGGACCTGTAGGCCATGCTCCCCACCCTACGGGCCTAATGCTCCCTTTCTCTGTTCCAGTGGCTTCTCCTCGGTGGTAGCTCTGGGCGCCAGCATCATCTGTAACAAGATCCCAGGCCTGGCTCCCAGACAGCGGGCAATCTGCCAGAGTAGGCCGGACGCCATCATCGTCATAGGAGAAGGCTCACAAATGGGCCTCGACGAGTGTCAGTTTCAGTTCCGCAATGGCCGCTGGAACTGCTCAGCGCTGGGGGAGCGCACCGTCTTCGGGAAGGAGCTCAAAGTGGGTAAGTCCTCCCCAGACACTGCAAACAGGGGCTTACAGGCCAAGCAGGGACCAGAATACTCTCTCCAGAGCTCTCTGGGACTCCCTTACGTGCCCCATGCTGGGATGACCCTAATATGGGACCCCAAAGGTGCCGGAGTTCAGATCTGATGAAGGCCAGTCCCTGGTTTGAATCTAGACCATGTCAGCTGTGTATGGCCCAAATGCTACCTGGCTGAGATAGCACTTATGTTGTTTTTTAATTGAAGCCCCAAATTTAAAATTAGCTGTTTTCCCTAAAAATACAAATTTCTGGCTTGTTTTGAAAAATAAGTTTACACATGTATTACCATGGTTATAATGGGCTAGAGTTGAGAACACAACTTCCTTTAGGCCCATTCACTGCCACAGTCCCCACCACTCCCTATTATTCATCTTATAGCCAGCCTTGTAAGACTTGTCTGGCCACCGTGGGCATTTCTGTTTATAACCCTTGTTTTATGGGAATTGTGTGTTGCTTGGGCATGCACACATAGCCATGCACAAAGTGTCGGGACACACATTTGAGTTTATAAAACAATTGTGAGAAAACCTAGTGGAAAGGGTTTGGCCACCAGGAGGCCCTTGATCAGTGGGGGGAAGGCTGTGTTATGTGTCTTGCTTATGTGTGCCTGGACTGGCAGGCCAGGACTTCTGAAGACTTGCTTTGAACTATGGACTCTCCTGGAAGTCCGCTCAACCTTGGGTTTCTTTGGAATGGAGTGGTTCACCTGGCCTGCTCGACTGCTCACTGGGCATTCTTGAGTCCTGTCTCTCTGTCAGCCCCAACAGCAACAAGTCCCTTGGTTACTGAAAAAGTTCACACAAAACCCAGCCACTGCTCTGGGTCCTCGCTGCTTCCCTCTTGGATCACACAGCTGGTGTATGTGTCTGGGCTGCCAGGTCCCCATCCCCCCACCCCCATCATCCTCCTGCTCCCTGATCCTCCTGCAGATCCTTCTGCAGGCAGGGCCATCCTTTGTAAATGGAAATCAGATCATGTCATTTCCCTGCTTATAACCCTAGAGTCAGAATGAAATCCCAACTGCTGACCTCTGCTCCTATCTGCCCCCGTCTTCTCCCTCCTCTTTGCCCACCCAGCCTCATCCTGTTTCCCAGACACATCATACTGGGTCCTGCTTTGGGCATACAGCTGCAGGAGCTCCTTCTGCCTCAGATCTTATCCCACAACCCCATACTCCTGAGCCTCATCCTCTGTGCGCATGGCTCCATCTCAGCAAACTGATCACACAGAACCTCCCCTAGACCCCTGCATGAAGTCCCTTATAGCCACGAAGCTCTGTCCCATCATCCAAGCACTTGGCACTGCCTTCATCTCTTCCTCATCTGTTGGGACTGCTGGCTCAGTGGGTATCGAGACCCCCTCTCACCAGTGAATGTATTCTTCCCATTTCTTCTTGCAAGGAAGAACAACATAATCTCGGTCCTGCCAAGGGTCTCAGTTTGTCATCACCTTCTGTAGCTGCCTCTTACTCGCGCCTGATGGGACTGCAGAACAGGGTCCCAGGTTCAGGGTGAGGTTGGCAGGGATGTGGTGGCCTCTTGCTGCAGGCCCTCTTCACACACACCCCTCTTTCAACATCTTTGTGAGATAGGATGTTGCCTTGCACCCCTTGCCCTTGTTCCCCCTTCTCCCCAGTGCCAGGGCTCACCTTTCAGGGGGAGAACCAAGGGTCAGAGAAAAGAGGGGCTGCCCCAGACTGTGGCATCAATACTGAGACTCCAGTGTAGGTTGCTGAAGTCCCCACCTTGTGTTCCTTCTGTAGTCATCGCCTGCGGTTTTTCCACTTTCACTTGCTCATACTCCTGTCCTCCATTTTCCGGGACACAGCTCTGTGCTCTGGCATTATGTCAATTATGGGGAAACTGAGGCTCAGAAGAGACCTGTCCAAGGTCAACAAAAGTAGGGTCTCCCAGGACTGGGTTGATCCCAGCACAGTTTGCAGTCTTGGAATAACCGGCCCATTGGTTTCATTGTAATAGTGCCTGTGGGGGTGCAGTGGAAGGCCACGGTGCTGAGGGCCTTGCCATCCAGCAGCACGCCCCCCACCCTGGCTGCAGAGAGGTGTAGAACTGAGGGATCCATTTCAAGCTGAAGTGGAGGATGACTCCAGCCAGTATAGACTCCAGTGTACTCGGAGTGGAGCAGAGGTCTGAGGCGGGGAGCCTTTTTCAAGAGGAGGGCTTGGACAGGCAGAGGTGGTCTTAGGGAATTCAAGCAAAGAAAGGAGCCCAAGAGAATCCATGGGATAGCTCCACCTGGGCCTGGAAGAGAATGGGAGCCAGAGCCAGGAGGCATGTGGTCAATCTGAGCAGTTTGAGTTTCTAGGTGGTGGGAGCAATTGGAAAATTTCGAACATGGTATGATTGCCAAAGTAAGTCACATTATATAAAATAGCCACTCTACAATGATTTTTGACCCATAAAATGGCAACATCATATGATTCAGTCCGATGGGAATTCTGAATTAAAGGGTGGGTGCAGAATTCATCCATTCATTGTGATTCATTGATTCACTCATGCATTCACCCGCCGTGGCTGGAGGCTGTTGTTCTACCTGTGTGGTCAGGGAAGGCCTCTGCATTCATGAGGTAGGTGAACCTCAGGCATGTTGAGGGGATGAGCCTGCCAGGCAAAAGGAATGGCATGTGCAAAGGCTCTGAGGCAGAACATGTTTGAGGAACAGCAAGGAGGCTGGAATAGCTGGAGTACAGTAAAAGAGGGGAGAAAGAAAGGCTCAGAGGTCAGAGCAGTCGGGAGCTGGACAACACTACGTCTGTCGGGCATATGCAGGATTCTGGATTTCCCTCCATTGAATGGAGAGCAAGAGAGTGACAGGGGCTGACTTCAGACTTAGCAGCATTGCTCTGGGCCCTGGAAATGGAATGAACTGTGGAGGGACAAAGGTGGGAGTTGGGAGTCTGGTCCAGTTTTCCAGGCAGGAGGTGACTGGAGGCTGTGGAGTCAGTGAATGATAGCAGGGGAGATCGGCTTTGGAAGGGAGGTACCAGGATGGGGGATGCTGACAACCTAAAAGTTAGGAAGGAATTGTCCTTCTAAGGTGGTGGTAGTGGGAGCAGAGGAGATGAGATCAGGATTGGACACCTCCCTGCAAGTCTGAGCAGTCACTTTCCTTCTGAGCCTTGGTTTCCTCATGTATAAACAGCTACCCTGTTTGAGGACACCATGAGCAAGTCTCAAATTTAGGCTTTCTGGGCTCTTCATCAGCATTCTTGCCCCCATAGGGTTGCCTCTTTATGGGAATGATCAGTCAATAAGGGCTGTCTTGTGGGGTGAGAGATCGGGAGTGCAGTGTTAGACTTTGGGAGCACTGGCCATCAAATCAACACTCCAAGCAGCAGGACACATCTGCCATTGAAGAAACTTCCCAGAATCTCCAACCCATGTTTTGCTTACATATCATTGGCTAGAACTTAGTCACATGATCATACCTCACTGCAAAGGAAGGTGGGAAATAGTTTTTTATTCAGAACAGCTGAGACCAGCTAAGACTGAGGAGGAAGGGGAACATTGACACCGGGGTGGGAAGCCAGTCCCCGACAGGTTTTCCATCCCATACTGAGACCTAAAGGCTCTTCTTCCATCACTCCCTCAACTTCCACTCCGGTCTCGAACTCTGCTTGTGTTTCATGGCTCTGTTTTGCCTTCTGAGTGTTCCAGATTTTACTGCATAGATTTGAGGATGGCCATGCACAAGGCCCTCTTGGATGCTAGAAATGGAAACCCAATGTAGACCACCTCAGAAGAAAAGGGGAAATTCATGTTTTTGCATAAGTAATTGGAAAGTCTGGGATGGTGCTGACTTTCAGAATGCCTTGGACCAAAGGTGGTATTGGCTTCTACCGACCCCAGAGCCACCTCTTTGAACAGTGAGATGGCTGTTTCATTGCTAGCACCACAACTTTTCAAGTTCAAGTCCTGCAGAAAGGCCTCAACCTTTCTCTGGCGGCACCTGCAGAATTCCTATGGTTTACTCTGATTGGACCAGATAACAGGGCTTGACTTTTGGTTGTGTGTCCATCAATAACAATCACAATGGCCAAGTGCAACAATGCTTTTGATGGCCAGGCATGGGAGCCCCACCCAGAACATTTCTCACGGAAGTGGTACTGCTCATGAGTCTATTAGTCAGCTCAGGCTGCCGGAAGAAAGTACCACAGGCTGGACAGTTTAAACACAGAGATTTGTTTTGTCCCAGTTCTGGAGGCAGGAAGTCCAAGATCAAGGTGCTGGCAGGTTCAGTTTCTTCTGAAGCCTCTCTCCTCGGCTTGCAGATGGTGACTTTCTTACTGTGTCTTCACAAAGTATGTTCTCTATGTGCATGCCCTTGATGTCTCTGTGTCCTAATCTCTTCTTATAAGGACACCAGTCAGGCTGGATTTGGGTAACCCTAATGGTCTCATTTTAACTTAATCACCTCTTTAAAAGTCATGCTTCTAGATACAGTCACATTCTGAAAGACTGGGGGTTATGAATTTGGGGAAGGGGGATACAACTTGGTCCATAACAATGAGAAACCACAGTGCAGCATTGGTCTGTACTTTAAGGGAAGGGCGTAAGGGGTGTAGTGGTGCTCAGAGGAGAGACTCCAAGGTGCGAGGAGTGGGCTGGACAGTGGAGATGAGCCTTGAGCTGGGTCTCTAAGGGTGTGAAGAGTTTCATTGGTCAGTGAATGGCACCCCAGGCTGAGGGATTGGTGGTCTTAAAAATGGACATTTGATTGCTAAGGGGATGGTGAACAGGGAGGAGTCTGCAGCCTCAGGAGGCAAGGTGTCACTAGCCTCAGGGGAGATGACAGGCTGTCTCTTCAAGGGTCTTAAAATGACAGGGATTATTTGGGCGTTTGTGTGGCCTACATCAACTTTATCAACTGCTACCCAGTGTAGCCCTTGGGGGCTTAAGAAGACACTCACCTATATCCAGGCTTTTTAAAAAACAATA